AAAATCAATGTTTGTTCCTGTCACTTTGCTTTTTGTCCATAAGGTATATATAGGGGGGACCTTGGGGTCTGGCTCCCCCCCACTTCGTGGCCGGGTAAGGCACGGGGTGTGGCACGAAGAGGTTGGTCCAAATGCGTGATGCCCAGCACGCAGGCCCCCACGTCGTGCCTCGATCACGAGAACGTCGCCCGTTCCCGGCACGTCGTGCCCGTTACCCGCACACAGGGTGCCCGTTCCCGCACACAGGGCGCCCGTTCCCGCATGTCGTGCCAACCGTTGCCCGTGCATCGGCTAAACTGTGTGCCTATTTCAAAAATTATGACTCCTCAAAAAATCAATGTTTGTTCYTGTCACTTTGCTTTTTGTCCATAATGTATATATAGGGGGGTATAGAGTGTCTCAAGGGCACCGATCAGGATGTGGCAAGTCACTGATCGGGAGACATTAGTCGAGGTATGGGTGGCACAATATCCGATATCGAGGGAGGGTTGGTATGGAATTGACGGCAAGTATGTTGATCCTCGTTTGAAGGACGATTGGATGTGTAGGCCTAGGTTAGTGATCGGCCAAGGACGTGGTGATGTGGGTGATGCATTGAGGCAAGGTTTCTTTTATGTTTTTGCTAGCGGGCAGCCTGTTGAACCTCAACCGAAGCACGATTGGTTGCACAGGCCCGTGCCAGTGACCGATGCCGAGGACATGGTGAGTCGGGTCATGCTCGGTGGCGAGGGCAGCCTGTTGATCCACGTTCGAAGCATGATTGGTTGCACATGCTGAGGCCTGTAACCAGTCATATGTGCCTAGGACATGGTGATGTTGGTCCTGCATCGGACCCAACGAGAATGATCCTATATCGATGAAAAGTTGCTAGTGAATTGACGTCCAGCCCGTTGATCCTCGTCCGAAGCATGATTGGTTGCACAGGCCCGTGCCAGTGACCTGTCATATGTGCCTATGACGTGGTGTTGTGGGTGATGCATTGAGGCAAGTTTTCTTCTCTGTTTTTGCTAGCGGGCAGCCCGTTGAACCTCAACCGAAGCACGATTGGTTGCACAGTGACCGATGCCAAGGACATGGTGATGCGGGTCATGCATCGAGGCAAGGACAGCCTGGTGATCCTCGTTCGAAGCACGACTGGTTGCGCACGCTGAGGCCAGTAACCGGTCACATGTGCCTAGCACATGGTGATGCGGGTCATGCATCGGACCCAATAACAATGATCCTATATCGATGAAAAGTTACTAGTGAATTGATGGCCAGCCCGTTGATCCTTGTTCGAAGCACGATTGGTTGCACATGCCCATGCCAGTGACCGGTCATATGTGCCTAGGACGTGGTGATGTGGGTGATGCATTGAGGCAAGGTTTCTTTTATGTTTTTGCTAGCGAGCAGCCCGTTGAACCTCATCTGAAGCATGATTGGTTGCACAGGCCTGTGCCAGTGACCGATGCCGAGGACATGGTGATGCGGGTCATGCACGGTGGCAAGGGCAACCTATTGATACTTGTTTAAAGCACGATTGGTTGCGCACGCCGAGGCCAGTAACCGGTCATATGTGCCTAGGACATGGTGATGCAGGTCATTCGTTGGACCCAACGAGAATGATCCTATATCGATGAAAAGTTGCTAGTGAATTGACGGCCAGCCCGTTGATCCTCGTCCGAAGCATGATTGGTTACACAGGCCCGTGCCAGTGACCGGTCATATGTGCCTAGGACGTGGTGATGTGGGTGATGCATTGAGGAAAGGTTTCTTCTCTGTTTTTGCTAGCGGGCAGCCCGTTGAACCACAACCGAAGAAGCATGATTGGTTGCACAGGCCCGTGCCAGTGACCGATGCTGAGGACATGGTGATGCGGGTCATGCACGATGGCGAGGGCAGCCAGTTGATCCTCGTTTGAAGCACAATTGGTTGCGCACGCCGAGGCCAGTAACCGGTCATATGTGCCTAGGACATGGTGATGC